GCTAGCGACGCCTCCATCGTTCTTGCCGTCTCGATCTCACTCGCCCCTGCCTTCGATCCCGCGTGACGTCGGCTTCCTCTCCCACGCCGAGATCCGTCACGATGCCCACCAGATCCCCGTTGCGCCTCCTGCTCCTCTATCACTGATGACGCCTCCATCGCTACCCCCCCACCTCTACGCATGTCTCGCCTGCACCTCCATCCTCTGCCCCGATCACGCCCCAATCACGCCTTCACCACCGGCGATTTGTTGACATGAAAGTTATCTGATTGTAACTTTTGTTGTCGGATGGTTGATGTGAAAGTCATCAAGTTGTAACTTTCATCATTGATGTTTGATGGAAATCAGCTATCCGCAGTGATTTTTAGACAGCCTACAATGCTCTCAAATCTCCTCTAATCATCGCAATGCCAACTTTCAGCTTCGGCATGAAGTTCAGTTATCCGAGAATAAACTCTCTTTTCTAACCTACCTATTTGATCAATAATATAACTAGGGATGTAGGAAGAGGATCTAAGAGGAAAATGACTAGGAGCCCTAGAACTGAATCCAGAAGGTGACGACTCTTTAGAAGATTCAGAATCTTAGGATTCAGAAGGAAGTTACATGTTGGAGGATCATCTAGTTCAAGTTGTGTGACAAGTATAATCATCCTATGAAGAGCAGAGGAATCAAAATAGGATAAGATTTTTTGACGTGGACTACAGTTTTTTCACGCGCGAGGCCTTGGGGATTTTTTTTTGGGGGTTGGATTTTTTTTAATGTTTGGCTTTTTTGGGTGAAGTTTGATGTTGCTTTGTGGTTTTTGCTTTGATTTGCCTTTAGATGTTGGTGTTATTGGGAAGAGATGAAGAGAAAGAGATTGGTTAATTGCGTTATGTTTTTATTGTTATAAACTTACAGTTTATGTTGCTATGTTATTGATGTATAATTTTCAATGGAGGAATTATCTGTTAACTGTTATATATAATCTGTTAGCTAACACCCTTATCCTGTTAACTATTAACATTATCTGTTAACTGTTATATGTAAATTGTTAACTATTATACGTAACATGTTAACTATGATACGTAACATGTTAACCTTAATTGGTAAATTGATAACTATATTCAGTAAACTATTAACTATAATCCATTATATGTTAACTGTTATTTATAATCTGTTAACTATTATTTATATATAATAGTTATAACTATAATAGTTGTCAGTTTATATATAATAGTTAACATGTTAACTACCCTTCTTCATCGACGCCCCTAACAAACTCTAGGGGCCGCTATAAAAAACCCCGATGGCAAAGATGACTGGCGCCGTAACCGCTGCTCTCTCCTCCGCTCTTTGCTTCGTGAGGTTGTAGAGCCGACTGTAGGCGTCAAAAAAATGCTGAAAGATATCCAAATACAGCTCAAGAGGAGATCATCCAAAGATTAAAAGAACACAAGGAACAGTGTAGACTGTCTCGGCACGCGAGACAGTGTTTATTGTCGGTAGACTACACTCAGGGTGGCTAGTTAGTATACTGCAATGAGACCGCAGTAGACTACACTCTGTTGTGAATTATTGTTTTCCGGAATAGGGTGATATGCCTATTTCTGCAGGGCGATTAAGTAAGGTAGATGATGCCACATGATATTGTGAGCGTCTTACTGAGCAATATTATTTTCTGATACAGAATCACTACACTCAGGATGGCTAGTTAGTATACTACAATGAGACCGTAGTAGACTACACTACATTGTGCATCATTATTTTTTCGGAATAGAGACAGCAATGTTGGTCTTCTTGTTTTGATGATGTTTAACAAACAATTTACCACTAATGTTGTTTGTCTAGTATTTGTGTTTTCCTATATATTGTAGACAAACAACGTCGTTGGAGGATGGATGGATTGAGCCTACACGATCATATCAAGAGGAGGTTGGCGGAATTGTGGAGTGAAACATCGTACAATTCAAGTTAAAGATCAAGTTCAAGCTTCATCCGTGAGATTACCAAGAAGAGCTTATTGGAGATCAAGATCTAGCTTGGG